TTATGCATATGCCAGAACATAACCATTCTAACACTGATTTCAATTTCTAGGGGATACCTTCCTAACTCACCATATACCATATAATTTGGGGTGCTCTTCCCAGTGTTAAGAATTTCTTTACAAAACTGTAAATGTATTTTTTCGATACTTTTTGTATTTTCATAGCCCCAGGTTTCACATCCATATAATAAAATAGGTGACACAAGTGCATCAAATACCAGTACCGATCCCTAAGGCTTTTTACCCCTACCCGCACCTGCCTCCCTTAGTTCGGCTCCCGTAAGATCTCCGCACAGGTACTTAAGTCACCTTCACATCTATGGGTTAGGCACGAGTGTCCCATTATAAGCTTTATATTACACAACTAACAAATAGACATATACTGAATAAAATGCTCTTGTAAAAAGGCTTTATTGTGAAATCATCCTTTTATCTTATTTTTTTATGATATGTCAATCAATATTCAAAATATTTTATGAAGTCGACACATAAGAAGAAAATTAATAAAATATGTAGAATTTAAATCAACGAACAGATTTAAATTTACAGTATTGAAAAAAAAAAGTAGAGTCTGGCCCGTTTTGTTTCTGTTTTATTATGTATATGCATGGTTGCTAGTGATGATTTCTCATTCTGAATTCACGATACATTCTCAGATGAATTTATCAATGTTGTAGTTATTTTACGAAGCTGGAACCAAAGAAGCACAACATAAAAAAATATCAAGATACATTCTAAGGTGAATTTAGCCATTTTGTGGTTATATCACGAAACTAAAACCAAAGAAGCTACACATTAAACAAATTATTGTAAATTATAAATCACTGAACCGATTCAAATGGACCGCCTAGAAAAGAAAGAGGAAGACATCGGCGCGTCTAATTACCCAATACTACCCAATACTACCCAATACCACCCAATACTACCCAATACTACCCAATACTACCCCATACGACCCAGTTATGAACCAAATACTTCTTTATTACTGTGAAATATCACCTTTGTAGACGTTATTTACTTCCATCTGTCATATTTTATCGGGAAATATGCGATTTGGTGCCGAAAACATCACCGAATTGCCGTGACTATGACCCAATACTACCCCATACCACCCAAT